CCGCCTTGGCCTCCCAAAGTGCTGGGATTACAGGCGTGAGCCACCCCACCTGGCCATAATCCTTCCATTTTAAAAAGTACAAGTAAATAAATATGCACAATATGTAGAGGCAGAGATCTTAATACCTTCTTGAAATGAATGGCAGCACACAGTAGGTACCGTCTCATCCACCCTTCTTTCTTCATGTAACAGTATATCCTGGAGATCCTTCCACAGTTGAATATAGAAACATCCTACCTTCCTTTTGCAGCTCATAGTACTGCATTGTGTGGAGATGCCAGAGTTGATTCAACTAGTTCTCTATTGATAGATATTTGGCTTATTTCCAGTTAAGTGGAGACAATCTTTTAAATCACGGCAACAACAAACTCAAACAGACAAATAGCTATGCAAACCACCGAGTGTTAAAAAGATACTTTGTAATTTCCCCACTGCTTTCCAATTTACAGAAGAAAAAAAAGAAACGAAATGACCCCAGATTTCAGCCGACAGTCACATGATAAGAAAAATAAGTTGCAGGACAGAACTAGGCTAAGAAAAGCACAATCAATGGTAAGTATTGTTTATAAAAGATTCGTCACCATAACATTAATGAAAATCTCCAGATCTCTAATCCTATTTGCAAAATTGAATTCGTTTATTTAATCAGAATCATGGAGTGGTGATTAAATTCGGGTTTCTGACACTGACAGACAGAGAAGCCATGACCTTGAAGATACACTTTATTTAATCTCTCGGAGCCTCTGTTTTCTCATCTGTTTAAAAAAAAAAAAAAAAGACTGGATGAACTGATGTGTATGAAATTGCTTTGAAAACTGTATGATATAAGGGGAGTATTTTTGTTTGTTTGTTTGTTTGTTTGTTTGTTTAAGACAGAGTCTTGCACTTGTTTCCCTGGCTGGAGTGCAATGGCGTGATTTTGACTCACTGCAACCTCCGCCTCCTGGGTTCAAGTGATTCTCCTGCCTCAGCCTCCCAAGTAGCTGGGATTACAGGTGCCTCCACCATGCCAAGCTAATTTTTGTATTTTTGGTAGAGATGGAGTTTCTCCATGTTGGCCAAACTGGTCTCCAACTGCTGACCTTGGGTGATCCACCTGCCTCAGCCTCCCAAAGTGCTGGGATTACAGGCATGAGCCACCGTTCCTGGCCAAGGGAAGTATTTTTTGTTTTTTTTTTATCAGTGGTTCTTTTTTCTGCTGAGTCCTTTGGGGCAGGGGGAGGTGCTATCAGAAATTGCTATCTCTAAGTGAAGGAAGGTTCCCCTGATCTAAGTGCATTTAGGCCAGGCATGCTGGCTCACGCCTTTAATCCCAGTACTTTGGGAGACTGAGGCAGGAGGATCACTTGAGGTCAGGAATTCAAGTGCAGTCTGGGCAACACGGCGAAACCCTGTCTCCACTAACAATACAAAAATTAGCTGGGTGTGGTGGCACATGCCTGTGGTGGATGCGGGGGAAGCAGGAGGATGGCTTGAACCTAGGAGGCAGAGGTTATAGTCAGCCAAGATCGCACCACTGCACTCCAGGCTGAGCAACAGAGTGAGACTGTCTCAAAAAAAAAAAAAAAAAAAAGAAAAGAAAAGAAAAAAAAGGAAAATGCATTTAAAGTAACTTTGGAAAACATGAATTAAGAACTTTTCCTTTCCTAATTAAAAAACAGCGAATTGACTACCTAATAAAGCCAGTAATTGTGACTAGGGAGCATTATCATTGCATAGCAGAATTTCCCAAATCGTGGCTCCGAAGCCCTGTGGATCTTTCAGCACATTATGCAAGTCTTTGGCACGAAGTAGAAAGGACTAAGGGTGAAATTAAAAGTTCATATATAGTAGTAAGGATTTAGAAAAGAGATGAAGATACACACTCAAGGAAAATTAATATAAAATGGATGTCAGCTGGGAGAGGAAAAAGTACGTACTCAGGAATAAATCACTTTTATAGCTCTGCTTTAAAGCTCTATTACTTTCTGTTTAAATGTATTTTCAAGTGTTATGTTGCAAAAAAAAAAAAAAAAAAAAACAGAGAGAGAGATGAGCTTCTTTAAACAGGGCCATCTGAATTCTGTAGGGCCAGTTTTGTTGGGCTGGATGAGGCTTATCATAGACATGTGTACTGATGCCCAAGGGAATGGGGGAGCTTAGAGCAAAGTAGTAAAATTGTCAGTGAAGCCATTAACTGAGAAAAATAACTTTATGAGGCTTATCACATGAGCCATTATGGCGTGCTTCTGCCTGGTCTCCAGGCCGTGATAGGCAAGGAGTGGAAGAGAAGTCCAAGGGAGAATGGGGAATTTGAAGGACAATAAAAATTGATGGTGATGCATGCTGAGAAATTATCAGCACAGTCAGACATTTCTCTTGCTTCGAAAACACAAAACCCAAAGCTAAGCCATCCCCATGGGCTTTTGACATTAACCATCTGTCAAACACTAGCAGGGCTTGCTTAAGTGAAAGCATTCATTATAAATTAAAAAGTTAAGAAGTTGTACTAATTAAGGCTGAAAGGGAAACCAGAGTACGTTAAGCCATGATGGAAGAATTAGCTCTTCGTGAACGGGGCTCTTAAGTGTGTCTGTCTATTCTTGTGTTTTTTTGTAAATATACTAATTATAATCACTATTTATGTTTTGTAGTTTTGATAAAGAGTATAAGGCATCATTAAATCCCCCAAAAAGTATGCTGTGATATATGACTCATGCCGGTGATGAGCTTGCCAAAGACAAGCTTGGCTGTTTGGGATACAAGGCGGGTGTGACTCAGTTCTCCTCTCCACAGGATAGTAGTTCGCCCTCAGAAGAATTTGTTGTTTCTGCTCCTGGAAGGGAAGAGGAGGAGGAGGAGGAGTGGGAGTAGGGCGGAAAGAGGTAGGAGGAGGAGGAGGAGAGAAGCCAAGATTAGGTAGGGGAGAGAGGTAGGAACAGTATTAGATACCACCTGTTCCAATTAAACCTGTTTGCCGTTACTGGGATGTAAATACCTGCCTCCATCTCTGCAGCAAATTCTACTCCATTTACACATGGAAGCAAGATCTTAGAAGTCTAGAAAGCTAAGAAAATGAACACTCCTTAGGACAATTCACAGAAAATAAGGAGATGGGCTTTGAACTTCCGAGGCCCTGGAATTGGGCTAAGAGGACCCTAGCTGACATCTTGTTTCTTTTCTTTGTTTTTTCCTTTATCAAGTATAAATACAAATACCTCTTGTCTAACACTGAACTTTTACTTGGGAGTTAGGTGTCCTCACTTTCTAGGTCCTGGTTCAGCCATGGATTTCAAAAAGCCTGCCATTTCAGAGCATTCACTTAAATACAAGTAACAAAAGTCTTTAATTGCCTGCTTACTCTAATTGCCTTAGATTAGACCTTATCTTTTTCTGTCCTCTGCTAATTCCAGCCTCTGAAATTACTTTCTTCACCTCTTTCCAGGGATAACTTTACTCTTAGAGTCCTGAGTTTTAAAAGTGCTTCTTCACGCTTTCTCACCTTTTTTCCTTCACTCAAAAGAGGAAAAAAAAGAAAAGAAAAGAAAAGAAAAAACAGGAATATACTCTACAGTGATTCCTGGATCATATTGTGGAATGAACAATGGTTTAAGAATCAGGAAACCCCAGTTCTAGTATCAACTCTGCCACTAATGAGTAGTCACTCAAATCCCCTGAGTCTTTGTTTCCTCATTTATAAAATGAGAGTTTGGTGGGTGCAGTGGCTGGGTAATCCCAGGGACACAGGAGGCTGAGGTGGAAGGATGGTTTGAGGTCAGGAGTTTGAGACCAACCTGGACAACATAGCGAGACCCTGTCTCTACAAAAAAAAAAATAAAATAATTAGCCAGGCGTGGTGTCACATGCCTGTAGTCCCAGCCACTTGGGAGGCTGAGGTAGGAGGATCACTTGAGCCCAGGAAGTTAAGGGGGCAGTGAGCCATGATTGTGCCACTGCATTCCAGCCTGGGTGACAGAGCACTTAAATAAATAATAATAATAGTAGTAATAAAATAAAAAAACATTACATTCGTGAATCCTAATTTTAAACCAATACAAACTATTTTCTGTTTCCAATCTTTTTCTTTGAACTTTAGGAAGTATAATGAACCAAAACAGAAGAATTTATAAAACAGTTTCTGTAGAAGGTTCCTTGCAGGCAGTCTTTAATATACTTCTTATCAAATTCTGATGTACTCCTCAGGTATTTGGGGTTTTTAAAATTTAAATTAATTTTTTTTTTTTTGAGACGGGTCTCACTCTGTCACTCAGACTGGAGTGCAGTGGTGTGATCACAGCTCACTGCAGCCTCAACAACTCCCAGAGCTCAGGGGATCCTCCCACCTCAGCGTCACAGGTAGCCAGAACCTGTGCACCACCAAGTCTGGCTAATTGTGATTTTTTAGGGGGGTATTTTTTGTAGAAACAGGGTCTCGCTATTTTGCCGGGGCTGGTCCCAAATTCCTGGCCTCAAGCAATCCTCCTGCCTCAGCCTCCCAAAGTGCTGGGATTACAGGAATGAGCCACTCTGCAATGCCAGGTGTTCATTCTATAACAATGTCTGTCTGGTTTGAATGTGCAGAACCAAAAATATCCATGGGAGATATTTTTAATTATTTCATTCAACCAATGAAATTCCTGGGAATTCCATTTGGAAAGAGGAGTAAGAAAGAATATGGGATTTGCAGTCAGACAGACCTGGGTTCTTGTACTAAACAGTATGACTTCGGATGTTACTTAACCTCTCTAAGCCTCAGTTTCTTTGTCTGTAAAATGGGAATAATGATACCTACCTAAATCCCAGGTCTATATTAAGCATGTAATACATGTTTGTGCTGTCATTCAGTATCATATTATTTTTCTATTTTCTTTCTTTCTTTCTATCTTTTTTTTTTGGGGGGGGGACGGGATCTCACTCTATGCCCAGGCTGGAGTACAGTGGGGCCATCTCAGCTAACTGCAACCTCTGCCTCCTGGGTTCAAACAATTCTCCTGCCTCAGCCTCCCAAGTAGCTTGGATTACAGCCACTTGCCACCATGCCCGGCTAATTTTTGTACTTTTAGTAGAGATGGGGTTTCACCGTATTGGCCAGACTGGTCTCAAACTCCTGACCTCAAGTAGTCCATTTGCCTCAGCCTCCCAAAGTGCTGGAATTACGGGTATGAGCCACCACACCCAGCCTACTTTGCTTTCTAAGGACACAGATTGGGATGCAAATAGCCTAGGTTCAATGCCCATCGTACCACTATTTTAGTAGTCTGGTGATTTTGGCCAAGTTGTGTAACCTCTCTGAGCCTCTTTTTCCTTATCTGTAAAATGGAGTTAGTAACAAGACTAACTAACGTCACTCAATTGGGAGAAGGATGTAAAGCATTTAGCATAGTACCTAGCTCAAAGCTAGTAGTGGTAATAGTAGTAGTAACAGCAGTAAAAATCATACTAAGCCATCACCCGAGCCCACAATGAAAGACAAGAGAAATCTGATGGTGAGCTGCGGCTGAGAGATAGATGGAGGAGGGACCTGCCAGGCAGCCAGAAAGCATTGGCGGGAGGCCGTGGTCCATGGAACAAGA